AGGACTCCCGGGCCGAGAGGCCCACCCCTGTTTAGGGGCCTTGTGAGATCTTGTGGGGAGAAGTCAGCAAGAAAGCACGCTCCCGGGCTTTCGCTCCCTGTCTCTCTGTCTGTCTCTCTCTCTCGCGTTCACTCTTTTCCTCGCGCAATCTCCTTCTTTCTGTAGCTCTGTCTGTTGCTCGCTATCTCGCGCTCCCTTCTTCTTCTTCCACCGGGCATAGAGAGTGAGTTAGGCTCCCTGGCCAATTGCGCCCCCCTATGTTTGTGGGGCACGTGGGCAGGGGAGCTGAAAGCTTCACTGACCTGCGGCACTGTCCACGCGCTGTCTCTCTCTCGTTAAAATCTCTAAAATCTCTTTTCTTATACTTAAACTGGCTGTTTCTGTAATCCCAGCCGAGGAAGAGTCGAACTGTACGTACACCTTGCTTGCCCGTGATGTGGGTAGTTCTCTAAAGTAGGTCCCGTTTTGGGTACCAAAACTAGCACGGCAAAGGGACCTTAATTTAGAGAAATGGCATATTCACTCACACGGCGGCAATCCCGCAAGCTCGTGACTCAACCAGACTGCGCGCTGACACGAACGACTGTATGATACCACAACCTGTCGCAGCAACAGCCTGCCCTGCACCGTTCAGGATCCAAGAACTGGCGTAGGGTTTGGAGGTTCGGTTGCTAGTTCACGGTTGAGCCTGGAATCCACCACAAAGCAGATCGTCGAATCCAAATTCAAAAGCTGTAACCCGAGTCCACAACCGAGACGCCAGTCTTTCAGCCCCACAAAGCTTACTCAAGCCACTTAGCGGCAAACCTGATTCTGAAACCTGATCCGCCCTTCAAGCGGAGTGCTGAGCCTATTCCGAAGCCAGAACCTCACCAACTGCCCTTTCTTGCGGCAAGCGGCAGGTGAGGCATCGGCACGTGCCAGAGATCAACTCCAACCCTGATATCGCTGGCACCTCGGGCGTTGGGTTGCAGTTCAGCTTCATACTAAGGATGTATAATGTTTGGGGCGCATGCAGGCCCGACACAGACCTGTCTACTGTACGCAAAAAAGGCAGTCACCGCTTCCACCTTAATCTCCTGAGCTTTGGATCTGCTGTGGGTGTGGCTAGTTTCTCCTCGTTGGTGCGACCCTTCAGCGTCATTGGTACGGCAAAGGCCCGGAAGGGTGTAAACTCAAACCAAGTTCAATCCCATGTCGCCAAGCATGCATTGCGGATGCCACAGCGGAGCTAAC